GCATGCAAGGCAAGCGTTCTACCACTGAGCCACCTTCCCAGCCCTGTATAAATTATTTTTATATAAGATACATATCATACACATATATATCTTATACTCACTTATCTATGCCAGTGGCTTATGCATGTAGATCTGAGATTTAAGTTTTGTGGTTCAAAGCCAGGCTGGGTAGGAAAGTCTGTGAGGGTTTTTTTGTTTTGTTTTTTTTTTATTGTGAAAATACTGTACAGAGGGGTTACAATTACATGGGCAAGATAATGAGTACATTTCTTTTCAAGCATTGTAGCCTCCTCCCTTGTTTCCCTTTTCCATCCCTTCCCATCCTCCCCGCCCCATCCTCTCCACCCCCCCACCTCTGCACCAAAGTTGTAAAGTTTGTTTTCGACCTAATGACTTGTACATCTCATTGTTGCAATGGGTCCACCTGTATCCCTATTTAAATGATTTGTTTCCAATGTTTTATTAATGAAAAAAATCAAGTTGCTGAGAAAGTACTTGCGATATGACTCTAATTGAGTTTAAGCAATGTAAGACTCTTGGAGCCAGAGTGTGCGCAATTTCAATCATAACTCTACCAATAATTAACTAAGTAACTTTGTTACTCTATTCTTTGTTTTATTGTTTTGTTTTGTTTTTGTCAGTCATGGGGCTTGAATTTGGGGCCTGGGCACTGTCCTTTAGCTCTTTTGTACAAGGCTAGCACTCTACCACTTTGAGCCACAGCTCTACTTAAAGCTTTTTGGTGGTTAATTGGAGATTATTCTCATACTCTCTCTTGCCCAGGCATACTCCAAACAGCCATCCGCAGATCTCAGCCTCTAAGTATAGCTAGGGTTACAGGATGAGCCAAAAGCACCCAGAAACCTTTATTCTTTTTTTTTTCTGCAGTCCTAGGGCTTGAACTCAGGGAACTGTCCCTGAGCTTCTTTTGCTCAAGGCTAGCACTGTACCACTTGAGTCAAAGCACCACTTTCAGCTTTTTGTTTATGTGGTACTGAGGAATCGAACCCAGGGCTTCATGCATGCAAGGCAAGCACTCTACCACTAAGCCACATTCCCACCCCCAACCTTTATTCTAAATTGCTTAGATATAACCAAGGTGTCTTCTTGTAGATGTATAGGCACTGAAGTATTATTCAGAGCTAAAAAGAAGCAAGCTATTAAGCCATGAAAAGATAGAAAATGCTTGAAGCCCTAGGTTCCATCCTCAGCAAAGCCAAAAGAGAAAACAAAAACAAAAACCCTCAAGTGCATATTATTTAGTTGGAGGCTGCCAATGCAAAACTACTACATACTGTGTGGTATTCATTACATAACCTTCTGGAAAAGGAAAAACTATGGAGATGTCAAAGACCAGTGGTAGCAAGCAGCTCAGGGGAAGGAGGAATGAACAGGAAGAGCATAGAGATTTTTTTTCTTTTTTGTGCCCATTCTGGGCTTGAACTCAGGGCCTTGAGTTCTCCCTCATTCATGGTTAGTGATCTCCCACATTGTCACTGTTTGTTTTTCCCCTGTGGGGCCAGGAGGAGGGATCCAGACCAGGTCTCAAACTTGGTACCTGATGCTTTCCCTCCCTGGATGATATGTTACCACCTGAGTCAGGCCTCCAAAACCATGGCTTTTTGCTAGCTAATTAGAAATAAAAGTCTTGTGGATTTGTCTCCCCTCGGCTAGCCTCCAACTGCAGTTCACAGGCATGAGTGAGCTACCACTGCCTGGCCACAGGATTTATTTTTATTTATTTGTTTATTTTGCTGGTCGTGGGGCTTGAACTCTGGGCCTGAGCACTGTCCCTCAGCTCTTCAGCTCAAGGTGTGTGCTCTACCACTTGAGCTACAGCACTACTTCCAGTTTGCTGGTGGTTTATTGGAGATTAGAATCTCCCAGACTTTCCTTCCCAGGCTGGTTTTGGACTGTGTCCTCAGATCTCACCTCCTGAGTAGCTAGGATTATAGGTGTGACCCACCAGCCTTCAGCTTTCTTCTTTTTTTTTTTTTTTTGTCGGTTGTGGGGCTTGCACTCTGGGCCTGGGCCCTGTCCCTGAGCTCTTCAGCTCAAGGCTAGCACTCTACCACTTGAGCCACAGCACCACTTCTGGTTTCCTGGAGGTTATTTGGAGATGTCTCACAAGCTTTCCTGACCAGGCTGGCTTTGAATTGTGATCCTCAGATCCTAGCCTCCTAAGTAGCCCAGCTCAGTTCAGTTTCCATACCAACCCACCAGATAGGCTTGTGTTTAGGGGCCAGAGATATAAATACAGTAGATTTGCAACTCAAGTGAAGAAGCCCAAATAGGCCTGAGAGGCACTAAACAGAAGGCTAATACTCCCCACCCTTTCAAATTACACACGACTGAATTGTCCTGCTATAGGTAAAGAACTTCACTTAGTACTGATCCAGTCAGGGTCAGGAGGCCTTGGAGGCTTAGGCCTGGACCCCCCTTCACTCCCCAGCCCCTCTTCTGGCTAGAGGGAGCCTTTGGATCACACAACACCTGGGGAGTCTAGCACAAGGATGGCACCTCCATGGGAACTTTATTAATTCCTCACGCTGTGGTCTGCAGGGAAGAGGTTACTGGCTCCTGTTGGGGGGCGTGGACTCTGCACTGCCAGGGTCATTCTCTGAGTCGTCTTTGGGTTTGGACACAGGCTGGAATTTGAGTAGGACAGGTGGGGAGAAGATAGAAGCTCTCACACCATGGCATGGAGTTTCACCTGTATTGGGGGATCCATTACAGGCCGAAGTCCTGCATGGGAGAAAAGACATCATATGTTCATGAGGTAGGACACCAGCACAAAGGGCCACCAAAGGTACAGGTGACAAAATCTAGCCTGCAAGATGACTTCCTGAGACAATTCTACTTCCAGATACCTCTCCTGTGGAGAAGAAACAGTACAGAGAAGCAGTGGACTATTCTGGTTCTGGCAAAGGGATGAGGAAGATATTCCAGTGCTTTTTTTTTTAACAGTAATAAAGAGAAAGCATTTTATGTTTCATATTTTCTATTTTTTCTGTTAAGGTACATGTGTGTGACTGCACATATGAGTGATAGATTATCAGTAGTTTACAGATTCAACAGTTCAATATGATGGTCATCTGCAGTAACTACAGATTACATGGGTGGCTGAGATGGTAACACAGTGAATATTAACATTTTCCATGAACAAATTATTTAAAATATTGTATAAATTTTTTTGGGGGGGGTCCGGTCATGGGGCCTGAACTCTGGGCCTGAGCGCTGTCCCTCAGCTCTTCAGCTCAAGGCTAGCGCTCTACCACTTGAACCACAGAGCCACTTCCGGCTTGTTTCTTTTTGCTTATGTGGTGCTGAGGAATCAAACCCAGGGCCTCAGGCATGCAAGGCAAGCGTTCTACCACTGAGCCACCTTCCCAGCCCTGTATAAATTATTTTTATATAAGATACATATCATACACATATATATCTTATACTCACTTATCTATGCCAGTGGCTTATGCATGTAGATCTGAGATTTAAGTTTTGTGGTTCAAAGCCAGGCTGGGTAGGAAAGTCTGTGAGGGTTTTTTTGTTTTGTTTTTTTTTTATTGTGAAAATACTGTACAGAGGGGTTACAATTACATGGGCAAGATAATGAGTACATTTCTTTTCAAGCATTGTAGCCTCCTCCCTTGTTTCCCTTTTCCATCCCTTCCCATCCTCCCCGCCCCATCCTCTCCACCCCCCCACCTCTGCACCAAAGTTGTAAAGTTTGTTTTCGACCTAATGACTTGTACATCTCATTGTTGCAATGGGTCCACCTGTATCCCTATTTAAATGATTTGTTTCCAATGTTTTATTAATGAAAAAAATCAAGTTGCTGAGAAAGTACTTGCGATATGACTCTAATTGAGTTTAAGCAATGTAAGACTCTTGGAGCCAGAGTGTGCGCAATTTCAATCATAACTCTACCAATAATTAACTAAGTAACTTTGTTACTCTATTCTTTGTTTTATTGTTTTGTTTTGTTTTTGTCAGTCATGGGGCTTGAATTTGGGGCCTGGGCACTGTCCTTTAGCTCTTTTGTACAAGGCTAGCACTCTACCACTTTGAGCCACAGCTCTACTTAAAGCTTTTTGGTGGTTAATTGGAGATTATTCTCATACTCTCTCTTGCCCAGGCATACTCCAAACAGCCATCCGCAGATCTCAGCCTCTAAGTATAGCTAGGGTTACAGGATGAGCCAAAAGCACCCAGAAACCTTTATTCTTTTTTTTTTCTGCAGTCCTAGGGCTTGAACTCAGGGAACTGTCCCTGAGCTTCTTTTGCTCAAGGCTAGCACTGTACCACTTGAGTCAAAGCACCACTTTCAGCTTTTTGTTTATGTGGTACTGAGGAATCGAACCCAGGGCTTCATGCATGCAAGGCAAGCACTCTACCACTAAGCCACATTCCCACCCCCAACCTTTATTCTAAATTGCTTAGATATAACCAAGGTGTCTTCTTGTAGATGTATAGGCACTGAAGTATTATTCAGAGCTAAAAAGAAGCAAGCTATTAAGCCATGAAAAGATAGAAAATGCTTGAAGCCCTAGGTTCCATCCTCAGCAAAGCCAAAAGAGAAAACAAAAACAAAAACCCTCAAGTGCATATTATTTAGTTGGAGGCTGCCAATGCAAAACTACTACATACTGTGTGGTATTCATTACATAACCTTCTGGAAAAGGAAAAACTATGGAGATGTCAAAGACCAGTGGTAGCAAGCAGCTCAGGGGAAGGAGGAATGAACAGGAAGAGCATAGAGATTTTTTTTCTTTTTTGTGCCCATTCTGGGCTTGAACTCAGGGCCTTGAGTTCTCCCTCATTCATGGTTAGTGATCTCCCACATTGTCACTGTTTGTTTTTCCCCTGTGGGGCCAGGAGGAGGGATCCAGACCAGGTCTCAAACTTGGTACCTGATGCTTTCCCTCCCTGGATGATATGTTACCACCTGAGTCAGGCCTCCAAAACCATGGCTTTTTGCTAGCTAATTAGAAATAAAAGTCTTGTGGATTTGTCTCCCCTCGGCTAGCCTCCAACTGCAGTTCACAGGCATGAGTGAGCTACCACTGCCTGGCCACAGGATTTATTTTTATTTATTTGTTTATTTTGCTGGTCGTGGGGCTTGAACTCTGGGCCTGAGCACTGTCCCTCAGCTCTTCAGCTCAAGGTGTGTGCTCTACCACTTGAGCTACAGCACTACTTCCAGTTTGCTGGTGGTTTATTGGAGATTAGAATCTCCCAGACTTTCCTGCCCAGGCTGGCTTTGAACTTCGATCTTCAGATCTCAGCCTCCTGGTAAGTAGGATTACAGGTGTGAGCCACCAGTGCCTGACTACAGGATTTTTTTTTTAAGGCAATGAAATTACTGTGTATGACACTATAATGAAGGATACATGACATCAGCATTTGTACCAACACACAGAATGTGCAAGATCAAAGGTGAGCCTAGGAAGGTAGGCACTGGTGGGTAGGCACCTGTAATCCTAGCTACTCAGGAGACTGAGATATGAGGATCGCAATTAGAAGCCAGCCAGTCTGTGTGATTCTGTGTGTGTGTGTGTTTCTTATCTCCAAGTAACCACCAAAAAGCTGTAGCTCAAATGATAGAGCACTAGCCTTAAGAGAAAAAAATCCTCAGGGACAGAGACCAAGCCCTGAGTTCAAGCCCCAGGACTAATAACAGCATTCAGCCAGGTACTAGTGGCCTATACCTGTAATCCTTGCTACTCAGGAGGCTGAGATCTGAAGATTGAGATTCTAAGCCAGTCTAGGCAGAAAAGTCCATGAGATACTTATCTCCAATTAACCAGCAAAATAACCCAAGTGGAGATATATGGCCACACAGTAGAGCCTTGGGATAAAAAGCCAATTGAGAAGCTGAGTCCCTGGGTTCAAGCCCTACTACTGGCACACATATACATACACAATTAGCATTCAATGGCACTAGAACATATTTAGCATTCTAAGAGGAAAAGCAAGTGATCAAAACCCACATTCAGGGAATCCCTGCTTTATCAAATACAAATCCCAGGTTGCCTTTCAGTTGGTGATATCATTTAGAGTCATTCTTGTAAGTGGACTAAACGTCATAATGCATTTTTTTCCCCTGGACTTTGGGTACAATGCCATTCGGGGGGCAGAAGACCATTAGAAAGCCTGGGGATACAAAAGAGACAATTAGGCCCAGAGAGGCACAAAGTATGAGGTAGGATGCTGGCTTACCAGGGGAAGCCAGGGCAGTGGAGCTTGGGCACACTGTTTCCAGCCAAGTATGAGAAATGGAAGCCTCCGGGGTTGAGGACCAAGGGGGTCAGATCAACCATGTGGCTGCAAGACAAGGTAGAGACAGGCTGTCAGCCCTGGGCCCCTCCAAAAGCTTCCACATGCAGGATTCCCATACAGAACCCAGACTCTTTCCCTGGGGAAATGAGGATAATAACCACTCAACATTGTGGAGAGAAGCGAGGCACAGTGCTTCAGGCCTATAATCCCTAGCAACTCAGAAGGTTGAGATTTGGGAATCAAGATTCAGAGCCAGCTGGTGCAGACAAATCTGCAAGAATCTTATCATCAATTAACCTACAAAAAGACAAAGTAGAGGCATGTGTTAGAATGCCAACTTTGAGGGGGAAAAGGCAAGCAAGAGTGTGAAGCCCTGAGTTTAATCCCAGTACGAATACACACAAATAATAATAATAACAATAACAATAATAAATTGGTTGAGAGAAAACATCAATGGAGTTGGTTTTCAGGATACCCCCTAATCTTTAAGAAAGATTTTGTATTAGCATACATGAGTTGTACAGGGGAGGGTATCATTGTAACATTTCCATACTCCTATATTATATACCCTATCAACCTTATTCCTCTATCACTCTCTCTTCTTCTTTCCCCACCTTCTAAAAACAATTTCAAAAGATATCACTTGTCTACTTTCACACACACACAAAGTGCTTTGATCATATTCACCCTTCCTCATACATTCTACTCCCTCACATCAACATCTGTACCCTCAAACAGAACTTTACTATATTCTTTTTTGTGTGTGTGTGTGCCTGTACTGGGGCTTGAACTCAGAGCCTAGGCACAGTCCCTTTTTTACTCAAGGCTGGTGCTGTATCACTTGAGCTACAGATCCACTTCAGGCTTCTTAGTGGTTAACTGGAGGTAAGTCTCACAGACTTTACTACCCAGGCTGACTTCAAACTGTGATCCTCAGATCTTAACCTCCTGAGTAGCTAGGATTATAAGCATGAGCCACTGGTGCCTAGCATCTCTTATGATTCTTTTTAGTGGATATCAAGTGTATGAAGGATTTTCACTATGGTATTTCACAAATGCATAATACACATATATGTACTACACATATAATATACATATATATTATATGTCATATATAGTATATATTATACAAACATATATATATATATCTATCAGAATAATCACCTCTAGGAGAACAAAAAGATGTAGGGTAAATAATTTCAAAATACAGGGCTGGGACAATGGCTCAGTAGTAGAGTGCTTGCCTTGCATGCTTGAGGTCCTAGGTTCGATTCCTCAGCACCATATAACCCGAAAAAGTTGGAAGTGGCACTGTGGCTCAAGTGGTAGAGAACTAGTCTTGAGCTGAAGAGCTGAGGGACAGCGCCCAGGCCAAGGGTTCAGGCCCCATGACCAATAAAGAAAAAAAAAATTTCAGGGGCTGGGAAGGTGGCTCAGTGGTAGAGTGCTTGCCTTGCATACCTGAGGCCCTGGGTTCGATTCCTTAGCACCACATAAGCAAAAAGAAAAAAAGCCGAAGTGGCGCTTTGGCTCAGGTGGTAGAGTGCTAGCCTTGAGCTGAAGAGCTGAGGGACAGCGCCCAGGCCCAGAGTTCAGGCCCCACGACCGGACCCAAAAAAAAAAAAAAAGAAAGAAAGAAAAAAAATTTCAAAATACATTGTAAACTACATATGTATAGCATAAGGGATCTCAAAGAAAGCTGCTGATAGGGTTGGGGGGGGAGCAAGAAAAGAAGGCAACAGAGAAGGTTATTCTGAACAAAATATAATATTTGCATATCTGAAATGCCATCATAAAACCACTTGATACACTAAATAATGAATAAAAGGAAAGTAAAACAGGCTCTGTTTCAGGTTAGTACCAGTGAAAGTGGAAGGCTAATGAAGAGGGTGAATAGGATAACCACAGTTGAAGTAGTTTACATATACGAAAACAAAACAATGAACCCTGTTGAATGGGATAAATGTGATAGAGGAGGTAAAGTTGATTGAGATACATTATTTACATATTTGCAAATATTGTAATTAAACCCTCTTGTGCAATTAATGTATGCTAATTTTTAAAAATAACAGAAGTGGAGTGATGGCTCAAGTGGTAGAGCACTAGCCTTAAACACAAAAGCTCAAGGATAGTGCCTAGGACCTGAGTTTAAGCCCCAGAACTGGCACAAAAATAAATAAGTAAATAAATAAAAATAAAGCTAAAAAAAAAAACCCTCTCTATTGTTCTCTCTTTTGCTGTCACCCTATCCATATACCAATGTTCCTTTTTCACTTCCCTCAAACCCAGAGTAAATTCCTTCCACCTCTTTGGGTTTGATGACAGGCCATTCCAGGTTAATTTCACTTCAGACTTTGAAATGTCCAATTTCTCCATCTGCAGGAAACAAAGAAATTTCAGGACAAATGTAGACACTTCAACATGCAGAACACTAATCCTCACGTAAGAACCAGAAGATTTTCATTCATTCAGCATAAATATCAATGCCATCATTGCTTTTGACATTTTAGGGGTACAGAGAATGAACTGATGGCTGGGATCCTAACCCAGCATAGAGGGCTGCCTGGAGGAGGTGGAAAAGGGACCTGAAGTGAGATGCCCAAGATAAACAGAAAACTGGAAGTATTTACATTGAAAGGAGGCAACAAGGAGACAACAGCCATGGAGAGGAGAAAAGTGAGGTCAAGGTTAACCCGAGGGACTGGGAATGTGGCTTAGTGGTAGAGTGTTTGCCTAGCACGCATGAAGCCCTGGGTTCAATTCCTCAATACCACAAAAACAGAAAAACAGAAAAAGCCAGAAGTAGCACTGTGGCTCAAGTGGCAGAGTGCTATCCTTGAGCAAAAGCAGTTCAGGAACAGTGCACAGGCTCTGAGTTCAAGCCCAAGGACTGGCAAAAAAAAAAAGAAGAAGAAAGAAAGAAAAGGTTAACCCAGGGAGAGGCCCATGGCTTACCACCTGTCCTTTGGGAGTTCAAGAAGCCTCACCAATGCACTTGGGTGAAGGTAGAAGTATGGCGGGGGGGGGGGGTGGAGGGGTCCTGGGGCCTGAAATCAGGCCTGGGCTCTGTCCCTGAGCTTTTGTACTCAAGGCTAGTGCTCTACCACTTGAGCCACAGCTCCAATTAATTTTTGTGGCTAACTGGAGATAAGAATTCTCATGGGGAGCGCTGGGATGTAGCTCAGTGGCAAAGCGCTTGCCTAGCAAGTGCAACGTCCTGGATTCGATCCCCAGTACCAAAAAAGAAAAAGACAAAAAAAATACAGTTAAAAAAAAAAAACAAACAAGCAAACAAAAAAAAACAACCCTTGGGGCTGGGAAGGTGGCTCAGTGGTAGAGTGCTTGCCTTGCATGCATGAAGCCCTGGGTTCAATTCCTCAGCACCACATAAGCAGAAAAAGCTGGAAGTGGTGCTTGGCTCCAGTGGTAGAGCCCTAGCCTTGAGTTGAAGAGCTGAGGGACAGCACCCAGGCCCAGAGTTCAGGCCCCATGACTGGCAAAAAAAAAAAAAGAATTCTCATAGGCTTTCCTTCCCAGGCCTGCTTCAAACCATCATCATCAGATGTCAACCTCCTAGGTAAGTAGAATTACAGGTTCAAGCTACTGGCACCCAGCAGTCTGTGCTTTTGACTCACACTATGACCTGCCAACCAGCTGCCCCTTTTTAATCCATTGAAATTCTACCAAACCTGGACTACAAAGGACTATCTGCAGGGATCTGAGTGCCATGGCTGCGAGCCTGGACAACAGCAGGGATTGTTCTGAGTAGGAGGCCCAGAGGCTGCCCCAGCATGAATCTCTGAGGTGAGGGAAGTCCACTGACCGTATTTGGAGGGAAGGGACCAAAGACCCTAGGCATAGTATAGACAGGTGGTGACGAGGCCACCACAGAGGCCATGGTGTTGACAGGTGGAGGCAGTGCTGGAGGTGACAGGCATGGGGAGGTTGACTGGTCCTGTGAGAAGATGGGCTCTGGCTTCTTGAATTTAGGCTTTCTCCTCTTCCTCTTGGCATCTATAACAAAAAGTGCAGTGAGTGCCTAACCTAGGCCAGTGCAGGGTAGAATAGGGGCCTAAAATAATGGGGTACAAGGTCTTCACACGATCCATAAGAAAGGGAAGCACCTCACAACAATAACTCGAAGAACTTCAGACAGGCACCACCAAATGCCATCTTACCAACCCCATAGTCCTATGGGAAAAAGGTACTTCTGTCTGAGAGAGATAGAGCTCTGTCTGTACAGTCAGAATCCACACTGGACAGTAAGATAAAGTACAAACCAGGAACTAATGACTCATATCTAAAATCCCAACTACTCAGGAGGCTGAGATCTGAGGAGCACAGTTCAAGGCCAGTTCTAAGAAGGGAAGTCCATGAGACTCCTATCTCAATTAACTAGCAAACAAGCTGAAAGTGAAGCTGTGACACAAGTGGCAGCCTTGAGCAAAAAAGTTAAGGGACAGCATTCAGGCCCTGAGGTCAAGCCCCAGTGTATGTAAGGGACATCCATGTCACAGACCTGGGTGAGCAGACCCAGACTCAGGGCTGTCTTGGGGCATGGATATGAAAGGGCATGTATCCTTCATTAGGAAACATCCACTGAAGTCTATAGAGGTGGCCTCTGGAAGGGAATCTATGAGGGTTTGGACCCTGGGCCACTTCCTTCCCTTGTTCCTCTCTTTTAGATCTTTCTAACATATTCAAGAGCCAGGCTATTTGTTCTGTTTACACGTTGGAGATGAGTAGCATGGTGGTACACACCTGTAATCCTAGCTACTTGGGAGGTAGAGGCCAGCCAGGGCAAAAAGTTTATTTTTATTTATTTTTTATTTTGGGGGTCTGGTCGCGGGGCCTGAACTCTGGGACTGGGTGCTGTCCCTTAGCTCTTCAGCTCAAGGCTAGCGCTCTACCACTTGAGCCACAGCGCCACTTCCAGCTTTTTTCTTTTTTGCTTATGTGGTGCTGAGGAATCGAACCCAGGGCCTCAAGCGCTCTACCACCCAGCCACCTTCCCAGCCCAAGGGCAAAAAGATTATAAGACCTTATCTCAAATCAGTAAAAAGTTCAGTGTGGTGGTGTCTATTACACAAGAAGCAAAAATATGTTGGGGTCCAGGCCAGCATGGGATAAATACAAGACTCTAGTTTTAAAATAACAAAAGCCAAAAGTGCTGGAGATATAGCTCAAGGGGCAGAATATCAGTTAAGAAAGCACAAGACCCCTAAATACTGCAGTACCACACACAAAGTAGAGATGTCCACAGCGCTCAGGCCCAGAGTTCAAGTCCCACGACCGACAAAACGAAAACAAAAAACAAAACAAGTAGAGATGTCCAGTGACAAGAGTGCTAACACATTCCTCAAATAGCTCATCAGAACAGCTCATCTATTAACTGTAGTGATAATAATCAGCACCCCTCTGGCCTGCAGTTAAGAGCCAGTGCTCCTGAACCAACCCAGACCCAAGCTCAAGTCCAGCCTCAGCCATATCCATACTACATGACCTTTCATATGTCACTTAACCTCCTGATTCTTTCTTGTTCTAACCTCTTCTTCCTTGTTCTAGAGTTCGAACTCTCAGCCTGGGTACTGTCCCTGGGGCTCCTTTTGCTCAAAGCTAGTACTTTACCACTTGAGCCACAGTGCCACTCTTGTCTTTTCCTGTGATTAATTGAAGATAAAAGTCTCACAGATTTCCCTACCAGGCTGGCTTCAAACTGCGATCCTCAGATCCTCAGATCTCAGTCTTCTGTGCAGCTAGGATTACAGACCTGAGCCACCAGTACCTGGCTCTCTTGTTTTTGTGTATATGTGTGCTTCTGGTGTATGTGTGTGTTGAATCTGGGTCTTGAACTCAAGGCCTGGGCACTAAGCTAGCTAGCATTCTACCACTTGAGCCAAACCTCTACTTCTGGCTTTTGGTGGTTAACTGAAGAGGCTCACAAACATTCCTGCTCACGTTGACTTCAAACTTTGATCCTTAAGGATCTTAGCTTCCTGAGTAGCTAGGATTACAGGTGTGAGTCATCAACACCTGGCTTCTATTTTTGGGTTTTTGTTTGTTTGTTTGTTTTTGCCAGTCCTGGGGCTTGAACTCAGCCTGGGCACTGTTCTTGAGCAGCAGCTGCTGCTGCTGCTGCCGCTTCTTTCTTCTTCCTTCTTCTTCTTCCTCTCCTCCTCCTCCTCTTCCTTCTTCTTCTTTTGCCCAAGGTTACCACTCTACCATGTGAGCCACAGTGCCACTTCTGGCTTTTTTTTTTTTTTTTTACTTCTGGCTTTTTCTGTGTATGTTGTTCTAGGAATTGAACCCAGGGCTTCATGCATGCTAGGCAAGCACTCTACCACTAAACCACATCCCAGTCCCATCAACTTCTATTTTTATTTTTTTTTCTTTTGTTCAGTCATGGAGCTTGAACTCTGGGCTTGGGCACTATCCCTCAGCTCTTCAGCTCAAGGCGAGTGCTCTACCGCTTGAGCCACAGTGCCACTTCTGGTTTTCTACTGAAGATAAGAGTCTCACAGACTTTCCTTCCCCGGGCTGGCTTTGAACCGTGATCATCAGATCTCAACCTCCTCAGTAGCTAGGATTACAGGCGTGAGCCACCAACGCCCAGCTCAACTTCTATTTTCTATAAAACAGAGATAAATAACCCAGAAGCCACTTCAGTGGCTATATATCCTGTTATTGCAACCACTACATGAACCAGACACATGGATGAGCCACGTAGAGCACTACAGAAAGTGGAGGCCTTCATGTGTGCGGGGTCTCCTACCCTACTTCTAGTGTACCTATCACTCAACACAAACACACCAGAACTCAGTCTGAATCCAGTAGAGCCATTAGAGTGACTGTTGAAGAAATAGGGGACATACGAACTCTCAAAGCACAACACAATTTCAACAGATGACATGAGGGGGAAAAGAGAGGAAGTGGCACCATCCATCTCAAAGAAGTATCCAGAGATTGCCCATGGCAACCTCAACTTACATCTGCCATTTTCATGTGATTAAACTGTCCCAATGGAACACTGTGTGTGTGCTGATACTCCGGGACTTGAACACTGAGCGCCTGGGTGCTGTACCTTAGTTTTTTCACTCAAGGCTGGCACTTTACCACTTGAGCCACAGTTATGCATTTTGGCAGCTAATTGGAGATAAGAGCCTCATGGACTTTTCCCAGGCTGGCTTCAGACTACAATCCTCAGGTCTCAGCCTCCTGAGTAGCTAGAATTACAGGCATGAGTCACTGGTGCCCTGAACACAAATATGCTTACTCCAGTGCCACAGTAACTTAAGAAGCCTAACATCCAAAATGAATGTGCATGCCTCAGTGAATCCTGATAGGAGGTTGAGATGAGATCATTTGAGCCCATAAGTTCAAGACCAGCCTAGACATCAATAAAAAATTCATCTAAAAAAAATTAAGGTATGACCTAATGAATTAAGAAAACAGAATGAGCCAGCTGTTGGTGGCTCACCCCTGTAATCCTAGCTACTGAGGAGGCTCAGATCTGAGGATCATGGTTCAAAGCCAGCCTGGGCAGGAAAGTATGTGACTCTTTTTTTTTTTTTTTTGTCAGTCATGGGGCCTGAACTCTGGGACTGGGTGCTGTCCCTCAGCTCTTCAGCTCAAGGGTAGCACCCTACCACTTGAGCCACAGCACCACTTCCAACTTTTTCTGCTTATGTGGTGCTGAGGAATCGAATCCAGGGCCTCATGCATGTAGGGCAAGTACTCTACCACTGAGCTACCCTTCCAGCCCTGTAAGACTCTTATCTCCAATAAACGACTCAGAAAACTGGAAGTGGCGAGCCAGGTGCCAGTGGATCACGCCTGTAATCCTAGCTACCCAGGAGGCTGAGATCTGAAGATCGTGGTTCAAAGCCAGCCCGGGCAGGAAAGTCCATGAGATTTATCTCCAATAAACCACCAGAAAACCAGAAGTGGTGCTGTGGCTCAAGTGGTAGAGCGCTTGCCTTGAGCTGAGGAACTGAGGGATAGTGCCCAAGCCCAGAGTTCAAGCACCATGACCAACAAAAAAGAAAGAAAGAAAGAAAGAAAACTGAAAATGGCATTGTGGCTCAAGTGGTAGAGTGCTCATCTTGTGGTTGAGTGCTCACCTTGAGTTGAAGAGCTGTGGGACAGCGCCCAGGCCCAGAGTTCAAGTGCCATGACTGACAAAAAAAAAAGAAAAAGAAAACACAATGACAACATCTGAGATTCCCTTTAAAATATGCTAGGCAGCCAGGTGCCGGTGGCTCACGCCTGTAATCCTAGCTACTCAGGAGGCTGAGATCTGAGGATCATAGTTCAAAGCCAGTCGAGGCAGGAAAGTCTGTGAGACTCTTATTTCCAATAAACCACCAGAAAACCGGAAGTGGCTCTGTGGCTCAAGTGATAGAGTGCTAGCTTTGAGCTGGAGAGCTGAAGGACAGCGCCTAAGCCAGAGTTCAAGCTCCATGATCAACATAAAAATAAAATAAAATATTCTAGGAAAAGACAAGGAGTTACAAAGAATGAAATAAGCATGGCATGAGGAGGCCACTGGCTGAAGCTCTGGTGACAGATACTTTGGGTGCACTTTCTTCCTGTGGGGCTTGAACTCAGGGCCTGGGAGCTGTCCTTGAGCTCTTTTTGCTTAAGGAAGTGGTACTGTGGCTCAAGTGGTAGAGCGCTAGCCTTGAGCTGAAGAGCTGAGGGACAGCGCCCAGGCCCAGAGTCCAGGCCCCACAATCGACAAAAAAAAAAAAAAAAAAAGAAAAGAAAAAGAAGAGTCTCACAGACTTTCCTGCCCAGCCTTCTGAGTAGCTAGGTTACAGGCATGAACCACTAGTACCTGGCAGTGAATGTTTTCTTTGTAGTCTTTTTTTTTTGTGTGTGTGTGTGTGTGCCTGTACTGGTGCAGTTAATTGGTGAATCTTTTTTTTTTTCTTTTTTTGGTCGGTCGTGGGGCTTGAACTCTGGGCCTGGGCGCTGTCCCTCAGCTCTTCAGCTCAAGGCGAGCGCTCTACCACTTGAGCTACAGCACCACTTCCAGTTTTCTGGTGGTTTATTGGAGATAGGAGTCTCACTGTCTCTCCTGCCTGGGCTATCTTTGAACCTTGATCCTCAGATCTCAGCCTCCTGAGTAGCTAGGATTACAGGTGTGAGTCACCAGCTCACATCTGGCTTTGAACATCCATCTTCCAAGTCTCAACCTCTTGAAGCTAAGATTACAGGCAATAACCACCAGCACCTGATTTGTGACCTCTAGTTTTACGTGTAATTGTGTGTGTGTGTGTGTGTGTGTGTGTGTGTAGTATTGGAGCTTGAACTCAAAGACATTACTCTGCTTTGGCTTTTTTGCTCTCAGTTGCTGCTCTACCATTTAAGCAATGCTTCTAGACCAGCTTTTTGCTGGTTAATTGAAGACTTTTCTGCTTAGCCTAACTTGGGATAGAAATTCTCAGAACTCATCATCCTGAGTAGTCAGGATTATAGGTGTGAACTATAGATGCACACTGTATGATCACTTTCTCAATAAGAACTCTGACAAGTGCCTACTAGTGGGTGATAGATATGTCAGGCTGGCTGGGTTAGTAAAGCCAGGCAGAACCTATATTTCTCCAGACACTACTCCAAAGCATCATATGAGTTTATCTGCAAGGACTCTCCAGTTATAAGGGTAACAGTGATTTGCTCAGATAGGAAGAACTGGAAGTTGGTCTCCTATCTAGCCAATCTAGCTAGGAGCTGTGCTTGTTTCTCTCTGGACCCCACCTGCCCCAGGTCTCCCTTTCTGCTCTGAATAAAAGTTGGCCCCAGCCTAGCCTCGTTGGCTCATGCCTGTAATCCTAGCTACTTAGGAAGCTGAGATCTGAGGATCATGGTTTGAAGCCAGGCAGGGCAGGAAAGTCTGTGAGACTCTCATCTCCAATAAACTTCTCAGAAGAAAAAACAAACAAACAAACTGGAAGCGGGGCTGTAGCTCAAGTAGTAGAGTACTAGCCTTAAGCAAAAAGAGCTCAGGGACAGTGCCCAGGCCCAGAGTTCTAGCACCAAGATCAGGTAAAACAAACAAACAAAGCAAAACTGGCAAGTCCCTCAAGTGGACCCCAGCCCCTGAACTGCTCTGCGCTGACTCCTAGGGAGCGTAGGCAAAGGTTGAACCTCACCCTGGGAGTACAGGTGCACACGGAGGATGCGCCTCTTCAACTGCTCCAGGCGCTGGTGCATCTCTAAGGCTCCCATGGTGTTGCAGTGGTTCAGATCCCCCTGGACAGTACTGATGAACTTAGCCTGCAATAGGATGCCAAGAAGGCAAGGCCGGAAGGAGCCCGAGAGGTGAGTCGCTGGTCTGTTCATTGGGCATTGGATCTGCATTGGGCATCTGGAAATCGTTACCTGGGGTCCCCAGCTAGGCCCAGTGGTAACTTCTGCCCTTTGCCCCTCCCCGCCTCTGTCCCAACCTCAGAGCCCTGCCCCCAGGGACAGCCAGAGGTGCTGGGGGAGGGGAACGTGGACGGGAGGGGGGGAGGAGGCGCTTCTGCACTCGGGGACCCCTTCTCCCTGGTCCGCACCCAGAGGAAGGAGAAGAGCCCTCGCTGCTCGCACTCGATCTGCTTGCCCCGGCGCATCACCCGCTCCGCCAGCGCGGGGTTGCGGTCGAGGGTGCGGAAGAGGCGGCGCAGCGCGCGCTCCGTGTAGATCGCCGCCTGCCTCTCAAAGTCTTCCTCCGAGATGAGCTGGCAGAAGGTCACACTCAGGGGGAACTCGTTGTCGAACTCGTCCAGGACCTCCATCGGAGGGGGGACTGCGGGTCGTTGGGCCCCAGATGCCTGGGGAGCGGCGGGGGGCGAGTGTTTGGGGCCGGGACTCGGGATCTCCCGGGGTTCGCTCATTCCCACCCAAGGGAAGGAGGTAAGTGGCCCCTCCCCAGGGCTGAGGCTGGGGGGGGCTACCCGAGGTGGCGGGGTCCTTCCAGCAGAGGCTGTTGGAACGCACCCTCTCTTCCCTTACAGCCACGGTGCAGAGGCAGTTCCCCTGGCCGACGACCACCCCCCTCCCTAGCCCTTCCCAGGCAATGAGGGTGGAGGCGGAGGGGCGGGGTCAGCCCCACGCACGTGACAATGCTCCCCGCTCTGGGCATGCGCTCTGGCTCCAACGACGGGACGGACAAGATGGACGCGGCTCCAAGGCGCTCAGGATGGATGGGGTCAGGTCCCATTCCCGCCCGTGCGCCAGGCAATTCTGGCTTTTATCTCCTTCTTACTCATGTCCACGCCCGAAATCTTACAACTTCTCTGAGGCACTCATCCCTCGGGCCCCAGACCAATGCCCACTCAACCTCGCCAGTCTGTAGCCTTTCCCTGGGGGATTGAGTCTTGCTTCTCCCTCACTTAATTCCCACTTGACCCTTTAAGACAACTTACTCTCTGGTACACAGCCCCCCCCCACACACACCCCTCCTTGCCCCCAGCTCAGGCACCTAGCTTCTTTCCACCTTCACCTACATCCTGGACCCTCTTCATGAAGTACCTTCCTTTTCTGCTTGTTCAATAGCTGACCCCACTATCAACCAGACATTGAATGGGTACACTTTGGACTGCTTTCCTCCGTCTGTCCATCAGTCCTGGATGCACAGGAAGACTAACCAGAATTTTTGCTTCCTACAGCCAAACCACCAGCTTTCTACTTCCAGCTTTCCCCAACATAAGAAGTGGCAGGAACTTCTTCCTGCTTGAAGTCAGGACAACCAGGTGGAGACAAGTGAGATCAGAGGCAGGTCAGAAAAATCAGAAGTGAAATAGAAAAGAACCATTCTACTGTGCCACACACAAAAGCTGGTAGAAGAGCTATGGTTTGGCCTAAGCAACCTTGGGGTATGTCTCCCACAGAGCCAGAGTAAGGACAGGATGACCTCTGAGGCTAATGGGCCCTAGAAGCCTTTGGAGTCAGGCACTGGTACTTACATACCTCTGTATCTTTCTTTCTTTTTCTTTTTTTTGGGGGTCCGGTCGTGGGTCCTGAACTCTGGACCTGGGTGCTGTCCCTCAACTCTTCAGCTCAAGGCTAGTGCTCTACCACTTGAGCCACAGCGCCACTTCCGGCTTTTTTCTTTTTTCTTATGTGGTGCTGAGGAATTGAACCCAGGGCCTCAGGCATGCAAGGCAAGCACTCTACCACTGAGCCACCTTCCCAGCCCCAACCTCTGTATCTTTCTTCATGCTGCTTTCTGCCTGATGGTACTTACATAAACCTTTATAGAGGAATGACTTTTTTCAAGTATCCTCTGAGGGTCAGTGATAGTACTATCATATTAATAATCATGCTTCATGTCTTATATTTGTGGTGGTATGTGTTTGTATGTGTGCATGCATGCACACACACGCCCGGTCCTGGTGCTTGGACTCTGTCCAAGGGCACTGTCCCTGAGCTTTTCAGTCCCTGATCTGCCCAAGGCTAGCACTGTACCACCTGAGCCAAATGTCCACTTCTGCTTTTGGGTGATTAATTAGAAATAAGAGTGTTACAGACTTTTTCTGCTCAGTCTGGTTTCAAATCGTGATCCTCAGGTCTCAGTTTCCTACATAGCTATTGGCATGAGCTACGGGTACCAGGCTATTTTTTTGTTTTTTAAAGTATACCAAGATAGGGCTGGGATGTAGCTCAGTGGCAAAGCACTTGCCTAGCAAGCGCAACGTCCTGGGTTCGATCCCCAGTACCAAAAAAGAAAAGACAAAAAAAAATACAGTTAAAGTATACCAAGATATTCAACCATGGTGGTACTTGCTTGTAATTCTAGCAGGTAGGAGGCAAGTCCTAGTTTCAAAAACACAAACAAAGTATACTGAGCCCTTCTGGGCCAGGGAGATTTAAAAATCAAAATACAATGTGTGCTAGTGGCTAGTGCCCGAAATCCTATTTACTCAAGAGGCTGAGATCTGAGGATTGTGGTTCAAAACCAGCCCAGGCAAGGATGTCTGTGAGACTTTTATGTTCAGTTAACCACCAAAAAGCCAGAAGTGGAGGGACATCAACTAGGCCCTTAGTTCCAGCCCAGGATTGGCATATATACGCACACACCCATGGCCTCTGTTCTCAGACTCCCAGTCTAAATGAGGATTTCAGCCACTAGAAGAAAACTGAGATAGAATAGGCTCTGCTGGAAGAATTAGGACCAGAGAGCTAAAAGAAGGCTTTCCTTGAGGGATTCTTTAACAGCGAGTATAGAATCTGTTCAAGAGAAACAAGCAGGCTGGGCACCAGAGGCTCATGCTTGTAATCCTAGCTACTCAGCATGCTGAGAGCTGGGTATACTGGTTCAAAGCCAGCCCAAGCAGAAAAGCCCAGGAGATTTGAATTAACCACCAAAAAGATGGTGAGGAGCAGCCACCTCTAGCTTTGGGCCCAGGAGTCCAAGGAAAGGGAAGATGAATTTCATTCAGGTGACCCTGTGATCAAAAAGCATCAAAGGAGCTGGGCACCAATAGCTCACACCTGTAATCTTAGCTACTCAGGAGGCTGAGATCAGAGGATCACAATTCAAAGCCAGCCCGGATGGGAAAGTCCATGAGACTCTTATCACCAAGAAGCCACCAGAAAATAAGAAGTGGCGCTGTGGCTCAAGTAGTAGAGTGCTCACCTTGAGTTGAAGAGTTGAGGTACAGTGCCCAGGCCCAGAGTTCAAGCCCCATGATGGACCGGAAAAAAAAAAAGAAAGAAGCACCAAAGGGTCAGGACTAGAATGCAAGGAGCTTGTGCCACTGGCATGCATCCTCCATGGTACTAGGGAGATGTAATATCATTTCCAGTAGTATAGAAATCAGTGTTGCAATGTTCTCTGCCAGGGGTGAAGAGTACTCTCAAAAACCCCTCTGGAAACCTGGGTTTCCTCTCAGAGACCAGCTTGAATGACTGTCATTCACTGGGTACATTGTGTCAGGTCCTGATGGTAGAGGTGGCCCAGCAAGCACACCTAGGGGCAAGATCCTTGGAAGTTCAGCTCCAGTTTTCTTATTGCAGATGTGAAGGCAGGCATGCTAGGCACATCACAGTCCTCCCTGCAGGCTCAGGACATAGCTAGCTCCCTTTAAGAGAACAAGCTGGCAACTGGGCCCTGTAATCCTACCTTGTCAGGAGGCTGAGATCTTCAGATGGAGATTCAAAGCAAGCCTGAGCAGGAAAGTCTGTTAGAATCTTATCTCCAATTAACCAAGGAAAAGTGGAGCTGTGGCTCAAGTGGTAGAGTGCTAACTTTGAGCAAAATGCTCAGGGACAGTGCTCAGCCCTGAGCACGCGTGCACATGCACACGCACAAGCTCACACACACACACACACACACACACACACACACGAGCATGCACACACAAACTAGTCTGGTTCTGGTTGATAGGCCTTGCTGTATCATATCCCAGATAAATGTCACTCCAGCTGATCTTCAAGGCAATTAATGCCCTAATGTGGAAGCTACCTCCCAAAGCCAAACCCCGAACATTCACTCCAGACTCTTTTCAAACATTCAAGGAAGTCTGGGTCCAGTTGACCCCCACATGGTAATAGTTGGACTGGATCTGAGCCAGGTACTGAAAGCCTCTGCATGTGGCCATTTATTTCTCCACAGTCTTACCTGGGGAGCCAGTGTGGGAAGATCTTCAAATAAGAGCCTTTGTGAATCTGAGGTCTATGTCTTTCCATCTATCCAGCCATGTTAGACAGCTTGGGGGATGACCTAAGGATCCACTGATCCTCTATCTGATGAAGAATCCATCTCTGGTGTCCATGTTTAACTAGTCCATGCATGTGCTGTCTGGGATTTTCAGCTTTCTGAGTTTGAGAGAAAGGAAGCAGCAAACCCTCTTCCCACCAAGCACTGTGAGCAGCAGGCAGGGCCTGACCAATGCCCTTTCATCATTGCACTGCTTTCCAGCAGCCCACAGTAGTGCAACAGGGAAAGAGTGTTGGCCAGGCCTACTAGCGTCTGTCTTTTCTCTCTCCCCATGGTGGTGGTAATGGTGGTGGTGGTGGTAGTGGGTGGTATCTGAAACCTGGAATGCAGGCCCACTAGGCGGGGCCTCTGCTTAGGGGGAAGGGTGCCCTCTGACCCCAGAGGCCCAGGCCTGGCTAGAATCTCAAGTTTCCATGGAGAAGGGAGTGAAGTAAGGAGGGGGAGGGGAGAACCTGCAAGCCCAAGGTACTAGGCCTAGAGGGAGGAAAAAGGGGTTGTGATGGGGAGGGAGGGGGTCTCCAAGGCTGGTCACAGATGCTATGACAATATCATTGCACTGCTTCTCAGAGCACAGTAGTGCAACCTCGTCAGAGCATCTGCAGCCAGCAAGGGGGGACCCCATCGCCCACCATACTCGCAAGGCGGGAAGCTGAGCCAGGGATGGGTGGGTGGGGCCAGAGCCCTTGTCCATGACTTGGGGGCGCAGAAGACGATATCTGAAGGGCTGCCATCTTCAGGGTCTTCAGAACCCTAGGACATCCAAACCAGATCCAGGATCTAGTGGAAGACAAATCACAGCTATGTTGGGAGAGCTGATGGGCTAGACAGAGGAGGGAGGGCACACACAAAGGAGAGGGACCGCATACTGCCCACTCTCTGAAGCCCACTAGTGCTCGGAGCAGGGCGAGTACAGCCCGACGACCCTGCGCCCATATTCGCCCCGCAGCTCTGGGACCACAGTGCCCGCCCCCTACCCCCACCCCGGTGATACACCTCTTCTGAGCTCAATTCCCCATTGCCCTGGCTCCTAGCCCTCCCTTGGGCTTTGCATTCTGTCCTAACAGATTCTCCTAC